TTTAGGTCAAAATTGACTTAGTTGATTTTCTTGGAATTCGCTGCCACAGGACAAAAATCTAGTAAAATGTCTATAACTTTTGAAAGAAACAATATCAACCCAATTGCATTTAGAATTTTTACTCGGGGCACTATTTGATGTCTATAGGCAAGAATTCATCGGAATCGAAGGGGTATACATCAGAAGGTTCTCCCACCCTCATGTTCTTATCATAATGCCGCCCTCACTCTCATATTCCCGCTCACATTGCATCATCTCACAAGGGTATGTGGGTGTGGAATTGGGTATTTTTTACATCTCACATCCATACCTACGCTCAGTATTATGGTTACGAACATTGAAATATAGGCAAGAGTAAGTTGTTGCCATTGGATTCGAACAGAAGACACGTTTTCCTACAAAATGAGATCTTCACGAGCTCCATATGTAATCCCCTTATAGAAATGAATACGGTGTCAAAATACAGAGCTCTTTTGAAATAAAAATGCACAGAAATAGCTTCAAATCGTTGAAATTTATTGGACACCCTTTATCGATTTTTGTAATGAGATGACGCATGGAGGTCGTGAAGATCTCATTTTATGGGAAAAAATGTCTTCTATTCGAAATCCAACGACTAAAACTTACCCCTGTCTATATTTGAATGTTCGTAACTATAATACTAAGCATGCGTGGTATTTTCCAACCATGTTGCCTTGATTAATAAACGGATAGTATAAATCAAAGCATAGATAATTTCCAGATTTCTTTTTATGAGAATGTTCAGAAACAACTGCTCTTTGTAGGCTATCGTAACTGAAGCACAAGATGATGACAGACTTACGATCTTATCCGATAGAATCCTTTGTGAAGAAAGTACATACGCGGAGAAAAATGCTGCGCAATACCAAACTCCGTTTTGTCAAAATGACAAAGACGTTTTTATGAGAAGTAAATATCTCAGTTTTTAAACGTTTTTTATAATGGATATCAAATTATTTTATCATATCCGGCAAAATTTATACAAACTCAAAAAAAGAAACAATCATTTCAGAAATAAATTGTAATGAAATACTTCAGTTTGATGACAATACACAAAGAAGAAAAAAGTTATTAAATCGAGTTTTTCAAGCGAAAACTAAAGTTGTTTCGATGAAATCGAGAAATTGTGAAAGATATTATATTATTCAATCAGTTTTATGTATAGAAAATATTATAAAATATATTCTTTTTAGTGATTTAATTAATGAAAATCAGTTTTATTATAAAAAATCTATTTAAATCGATAAGAATTTTCAAAAAGGATTTAAATATTTTATTTGAACTATTTAATGGATTACAATCCATTTTCATTAGAGAAATCTATTAAAATTAATTATTGTTTTTGAAAATCATTATAGTATATTGTTTTGAATGCTTTAATCGATGAAAATCGATTTTTCGGCCAGGTTTAGGTAGAAAACGTGGTATTTAATCAGATTTTCTTGATTTTTCGAGAAAAAACGGTTTTAAACATATTTTTTATAGTTTTTTTTTACATGGATCAGTTAGCAATATGTAATAAAATTTTCTATCATCTATGCTTTCTTGAATTTAAGTTTATTTTTAAAATGCAATTATTGTGTTTTATTTATTCAAAAGTTGTCGGAAAAATTAATTATTTGAATATCAACTAAAAAAGGTAATTATCTCAGCATCAACTAGAAGAAACAGTTATTTCCACATCAACTAAAAGAAATAATTATTTCATAAGAAAGAAATACATAAGCATAAGAAGGGTGTGGGTGTTGTCAGAAGATAGTTTAAATACAAGCACCCACACCCTCAAGATTCACATTGCAGATGATAGTGAACAAGAGAATCCTTCTTCACTCGTTGATTCTTTCTTGTCTCTCATTTTTTTATCTACTATTTTTTAGATTTTTATCACATCGAGATAATCAAAAAGTATCCAAGAAAACATCAACCTTCATGTTTTTATTGTGAATAAATTAGAAGAAAAAAAATAAAAAAAAAGAATATTGTAAAAAAATCTTGACGAAACATTTAAATTGAGGATTGATGTATTCAAAGATAAACTTTGTAACCTAATGATAAAACAAAAAAATAGTGAAACAATGAAAGAGAAGAACAATAAAACACGGAAGAGATGTTAATCGGCCTTTATTTTGGAAAATTGTTCTAGTGACCGGTGTTGTAGGTATAATCGATTACTTCAGTATAATTGTCATCTTTCATCACATCACAAATAGTATTTGAATCAGTGGTAGAAAATGTATCATCTTTATAAACAAGTACCACCATTCCAAGTCGATTGAGTACAATCGTCAGTTTCGTGACATTTTTTATACTTATACTTACAGTTGATATCAAACATCTTTGTATAATCTTGTCGAGATTTTCATAGCGCATCTTTTTGTACTAGTTATAGGACATATAGATTGAGGCTGTGCAGAGAAAATTTGAAAATTCAAAACTACCCATTTCTTCTGAACCATCCAATCTTAGTTATTCCGTTAAGCAAGACAAACATTTGTTTCAAAAAAAGATAACTCTAAGTAAATACGTCATTGATATAATAATATTGCCTTTGGAAGATGTCCTTTGATATACATTAATATCTACAAAGAAAAACTGATATGATTTTTTTAAATTAAAATACAAGTATTCCTCCTGTTTTTTAGAATGGAATTACTTTTTTTTAATTGCTTTGTTTTAAAATATATTATACGCATGATTACTTTCTGCATTGCTCGCTAAACATAATTACTCAAACGATTTATATGGAGATATGAAATGAAAATGCTTCGACCAAAACTCATTATGACATGTATAATGTTGATCAAATAGATTATTAATATCTTATTACTTTTCGGTAATAAAGAAATATCTTTTATAAAAGATCTTAATCAAATTCTAACAAAGCAGGAATGTTAACAAATTTTCAAAGTTCATGAAACTTACTTTCTACGAGAGAAGAAAACGTGAAAAGGAAAAGAAAAAAATTGTTTGAAATGAAAACCTTTTTTTAAAAGATAAATTAATTCTTCAAAAAGCTTTTAATCAGAACAACAATGTTTTTCTTTCAAACAAAACATCTTTATTATTTGTCAATCATAAATATAGATAATTAACACATTGATATTTAAATAGATTTTCTTCAACATTCATTTTATCTATTAGAAAAATATTCTTCTTTTTCTTAACTCCTAATATTAATTTATTTGATAATAAACATAATTGAATCATCTTATAGTTTTATTTTACAGAAGTAAAATTAAGATTAAAATAATTACTAACTTATTTTTTTTTGAAGATGTTCAAATAGAAACCATTCTTTTTAGTTGTTATTAATTCTTTTAATGTTGAAATATTTTTTATCTTTCATGATAAACGTTTATTTATGATCTATAAAAAGCGTACAAATAACTAACTTGTTTTTCTTTCTCGTCAATATCCTCATCTCTCATTTTTTTCTGATTTTTCTTCTATGGATATTAGTAATGTTTGTTTTTAATTTTAACAATAAGTCATATTTATTTGACGTTGTGAAATATTTTCCAATCCAATTTTATTTACATTTTCAGTATAAAAATTTTCATTATTGATAATAAGTAATTAATTAGCGTCAACAAGCATAGCATTGCTCTTTATTTTTCAAAAGCATTGTTTTTAAACAATGTTTACTATATATGAGTCGATAGTCCTGCATCTAGAATCAATACATATTGTAACACATGATTAGATAATACATTAAAATCCGACTAGAATTTCAAATAAAAGAATTGTGATTTATTTGAATTAATTGATAATGAAAAAACAAACATTTGAAATACTACTAGCAATATTCATTTTTGATTAATAAAACAAAATCAGTATTGAAACCGAAAAAAATTTGAAAAATAATATTGTATTCTCGTCGCATGAGATTAAACAATAAAACCAAATGTGTACATTGAATATTTCTACAAGTATTAACAAATAGACAAACTCTCAATTTATCGCGAAGGATTCATCAGGATCCAACAAGTTATATATAATAATGAGTATTACAATATGATCATATTCAATCCAACTATGTCATGTAGTTGTATAAGTTATATGTTTAACTAGATTGGAAACAAATTTGACATAGGCAATTGATATCAATCGTCTGTGTTCCTCTGAGCACGGATGAATAGTAATTTGTTAATAGTTCTTACAAGTTCATATTAAATATTAATCAGTGATTGGGAAATTATCGTTCTGTAAACGCATAGCAATTTCATTGCTCCAGGAGTTTTTATAATTATAGCATCGAACAGTTTATTTACATAATGAACAGAATTTTGAAAAAAATTGTCTGATTTATTTAGTAAATGATTTTTGATTAAATAACAATTCGATTCGAGAAAAAGGATTAATATAGAATTTAACTTCTGCATTTCTTTTTAATTTAGTTAATATTTATGAGAGAAACGATCTTTTAAACATTTGAAATTTATTAATACTAATATTAATATTTTCAATAAGAAATCTGTTCTATTCAAACGATTCTCTTATAGGATACTTACTTTTATTCATTAAATTAAAAAGAGTAAAATGAACAACTCTATTAAAAAGTAATAAAAAGAAGCAGAAACAATTGTAAGTCAACCAAATATTTCATATTATCAAAAACAATGTTGTATAGTTAAATAAAGTTTATATGAAAATCAAGAAATATAATCATCACTTTCATTGTTATGAGTATTAAAAAAAACATTGAGAACAACAATGAAATCTAATATTAACTCAATGGTATACAAAAAGCTTCTTATTAACTAAATATGATAAAATTTAAGAAATATACTTTGTAATCTTTCATACCTTATCCTATCTATGATTAATTTCTTTGTTTTTAGTTTATTTCTAAATTCAATTGTTTGATCTTATCATGAAATTCTATACTTTATTATAAACAAAATTTACTTCTCTCTTACTCAGTATAAATTCATCAGTGATTTTTATTTGAAATAATAAACAAATTTCACTGGAAAGAAATGCATCGTATTCTTATTGTTTTGTCTTATGTTATTTTCATAAGTTATATCAATGGAGCTTCGTTTCAACTACCAGCATCAACTGATAGTGATGCTGTTGAATTGAGTAACTTGGTGGAAAAGTTTTGGTCTTCAAAACCTGTTGAAATTAACAAAGTAGATCCTGTAATATATTGCAAAGTTGTAGAAACATGCTGTGAAGAAAATCAACGTCAAGAAGCAATACCCTTGTTTTTTTCAGAATCTTTCGATACGGATGATAAAAACCGCTTTAAAGAAATAGTTGGATCTTGTGTTAATTCCACAGTACAAAAAGGAGGAGATAAATGGTGTCAAACATACTCTCAAGAGATGATCTCACCTTGGAATCTTCGGTCAAATTCCCAGGTGATGCAGTTTAGACAAGTGATGATGAAACTTCTCGAAAAACGTGAAAACATCGATAACAATACACCAGATATTTGTGACGATGAAGAAAAGTATGCTGTTATGTGTCTAACTAACAAGAAATTAACCCAAAGATGTGTTCATAAAATGCTTAAAGATCTGATTAAGCGCCTTGGTTATAAGTCTTATGAAGAACTTGTAATGAAATACAAACAAGCACTGATCGATATTAATCAAGAATGGTCTACAATATCCATTAAAAATGGAGAAACAAATTAAATTCTCTAAAATTTTCTTTTGTAATCATGAAAAATCTTCATATACGAAATATGATTTTTATATGAAGTTCAAATTGAATAAATACTATAAATAAAAAAATTTATTTGAAATATTTCGTTATTGACTTATTTTGTAATAGGTACACTTTCTTAGATACTTTAATAGAAGTGAACTTCAAAAGAGAAGAGGATAAAAATAATTCAAGTATGTATATTATCTTCGCCATATATCTCGAGAAAATGTTGAGCATTTATATATCTATTTACGGTTTTTGATCAATTACAAAGTATAATTAGTTTAGATTTTTGTTTGATTCTCATTGTACTAACGAAAACATCATTGTTTCGATAATAAAACAATATGATCTTTCGTACTATTTACTTTTATTCATCAGATTAAGAGAGAACAATAATCATTTTTATATATATTTTTTTTCTAAATTTGAGTAACTCTATTAAAAAGTAGTAAAAAGACGCGGAAGAAATTGCAACTATCAGATACAATGTGTACAGTCATTTAAAGCTTATATCAAAATCAAGAAATACAATAACGACTTTCATCACTGTGAGTATTAAAACACACATTGAGAACAACAATGAAATTTGATATTAACTCAACGGTATACAAAAAGCTTGTTATTCACTAAATACAATGAAATTTAAAAAATATACGTTGTAATCTTTCATACCTTATCCTATCTATGATTGATTTCTTTGTTTTTGTTCTTGTTCTAAATTCAATTATTTGGTCTCATCATAAACAAAATCTACTTCCCTTTTACTCAGTATATAATAGATAGGTGTTTGGATTTAAAATAATAAACAAATTCCATTGGAAAGAAATGCATCGTATTCTTATTGTTTTATCTTATGTTATTTTCATAAGTTCTATCAATGGAGCTTCGTTACAATTATCAACATCAATTGATAGTGATGCCGTTGAATTGAGTAACTTAGTGGAAAAGTTTTGGTCTTCAAAACCTGCTGAAATTAACAAAGTACAACCATTTATATATTGCAAAGTTTTAGACACATGCTGCGAAGAAAAACAACGTCAAGAAGCAATACCCTTGTTTTTTACAGCGTCTTTCGATATCGATGATAGAAATCGTTTTCAAGAAATTGTTGGATCATGTGTTAATTCAACAGAGCAGAATGGAAGAGATAAATGGTGTCAAACATACTCTCAAGAGATGATCTCACCTTGGGATCTTCGGTCAAATTCCAAAGTAATACAGTTTGGGCAACTGTTGATGAAATTTGACAAAAAAATCACCATATTCGATATGGGTACAACGGAAGTTTGCGACGACGAAGAAAAGTATGCGTTTATGTGTCAATCTAACAAGAAATCAATCCAAAGATGTGTTGGTAAACTTCTTCAAAACGCAATTAAGCGCTTTGATCGCAAGACTTATGAAGAACTTGTAATGGAAAATAAACAAGCACTTATCGATATTAATGAAGAATGGTCTGCAATATCTACTAGAAATTAAATTCACCCAATTTTCGTTTCGTAATCACAAAAAATCTTCATATATGAAATATGATTTCTATATGAAGTTCAAATTGAAATCAAACTATAAAAAAATTTTATTTTATAATACATGCACTTTCTTAGATATATCAATAAAGGTAATCTTCAAATACATATATTATCTTTAACATATATCTCGAGAAAAGCGTTGAATATTTATTTATTTATATTTTTTTAATCAATTTTAAAGTATAATTAGTTTAGATTTTTGTTTGATTCTTCTTTTATCAACGAAAACACCGCTGTTTTGATAATAAAGTAATATGATCTTTTGTTCTATTTTAATGACCATGTATTCCGTGAAATGAAGAAACACAAATTATTTTAATGAGGTATGATAGATCTATATAAACAAAAAGTTAATCAAATAACATTACAGAACATATTCTTAAAATTTCATGGATAGACTATTATTGACTATTTTATCAATATTTTTGATTTATTTTGTTGGTATGTAAAAATAAGATTGTATAAAATAATATTATTTTATTCTTATTTAAGGTAATGTCGATGGAATTCGATGTTATAATTGTCTTCAAGATTGTTCTGATCCATTCAATAAAACAAATACAAATGCTAATTCAATAACATCCTTAAGTGGATGGTGTATGGTATAGTATTTATGATTTTAATTTATTGTATGAATAAAGTTCTGTTTTATGTATATTTATAGAAACTTAAAACATCTCGAAAACATGATTTTGTATTTACTCGTACATCAGCACCATTCGGTATATGTAATGAAAATAAATGTAAAACATCTCATCATGATGGTATCAAAGCAATAAGTTGTTGTTGTAATACTGATTTATGTAATCATTCAAATAAGATAAAAATCTTTTCAAATTATTTTATTGGATTATTAATACTATTTGGAATCAATTTAATTATTAATCAATGACCTCTTTCTTTTTTTTTGCATAGTCATGTATCATCCCTCTTCTTTTTTTTTCTTCATACGAAATAAATGATTAACTACGATATCTTATCTTTTATCATTATTAAAAATATGTTAACATCTATTCTTTTTATATTTTTAAATATAGGAGTATCCATTATAAATAGTGATCGATGCGCCTGTTGTTTTCCAAATCAATCACATAATTGTCAAACACCTGCTATTGATTTACCATGTAATGAATGTACAAGCGATTTTTGTGCGCAACATGTAAAAGGATGTCAAGGATTTCCAGCATGTAAAGCTGAATGTATGTCAAGTTCAAGTTCCACTACGACAATGCCAAGTCCGAGTTCTACTATGACAACGTCAAGTTCAACTTTCACTACGACAGTACCAATAAAATCTAGTACATTCAACGGCGGATCTATGAATCAATATGGATTATTTATTATTTCCATTCATTTGACATTATTAACCCTTATCAATTTTTTTTATATTGAAATACAATAAATAAAAATTTCTTTAGAAGAAACTTCAATGATTTATTTGTATATTCCATCCATTGAAAACGTCATGTTTTTTTTTCACGTAGAAATTATTTAACTATCAAAGCTACCTAATCTTTAACGATAGTCGAAAGGAAAAAAGAATCTTGTACCACGTGTTTTATTATAGCACTTTTATTTCGAAAGAAAAAGTACGATACAAGCCATAAGTATTTTATTCTTTAGCATATTAACGAAAAATGTCTGAAAAATCTGAAATAACAATTGCTATATTAAGTCCTGGTGATATGGTATAGAATATTTATAAATTATTTCGAATAATTTCTTTTTTCTTTTAGGGTCATGCTATTGGTCGAGTTCTTCTTTCATCTGGTGAAAATAAAATTCGTATAATAACAAATTTAACAGGACGAAGTAAACGTACACAAAAATTATCCCAATCAGCTGGTATTATCGATGTTAAAACAGATGAAGAAATTATCAATCAAGCTGATTTTATTTTCTCTATTCTTATTCCATCTGAAGTAACAACAGTTGCACAACGTTTTGCTAATTCTCTTTCAATAAATCCGCATATTATTTATGTTGACATGAATGCAATTGCACCACAAACAGTCCAATTTATATCATCATTATTTCCACATGGTAATTTTGTTGATGGATGTATTATTGGTTTACCACCTGGTTCTTCTGAGCGCATACCAACAGTCTATTTATCTGGTATAAATGGGCAAAAAATAGCTGATTTATTTCAATATACAGATTTAATAAAAACACGTGTTATGGGAAATGAAATCGGTTCGGCAAGTGCATTTAAAATGTGTTATGCATCATTGAGTAAAGGTATAACTGCAATTGCAATTCAAGCATGTGTAACAGCAAAATCCTATGAATTTGACGAATTATTTTTAAATGAATTAAAAGAAAGTATGCCAGATATTTTTAAAAAATTAGATAAATCAATTCCACATATGGCACCTAAAGCAGGAAGATGGATTGCTGAAATGGAAGAAATTGCTAAAACATATGAAAATGTTGGTTTATCCGAAAAAATTTTTCAAGGAGCTGCTGAAACATATCGATTTGTTGCTGAACAAACACCATTAGGAAATGAAATCATTGAAGAACGACAAAAAGGACAGACATTAGATGATGCTCTACAAATTATGGCTGAATCACTTAAGAAAAATAAAAAATAAAATTAATTATACTCTAATTTCTTTTTTTCGAAATAAAATTCTATTAGTGACATTGGATCTTATAAATTTGAATGTCAATTTTATTACAATAAATTTCTTGTGTACATATATATATATATAGAATAAATAGCTACAATGGTGTTACATTTTACTGATGAATGAGAAAAATTAAAAAGAAATATTCACGATGATATTGAGAAAAAAAAGATAATAAAGTTATTCAATGTATATATACAAATTAGATTTGATTTAAGCAAAATGATGATCAATATGTAATTTCTTTGCATCAAGTGTCATATTTTCAGGAAATTCCCAATAACACATTGGACATGCACATACTTCACCATCAATATCAACAAGTGAAGCTTGTAATGATGGTTCGTTTTGTCGATGTTCATATGTATTAAAAAGACTGGGAACTGATTCTTCTTGTTTTTGAACAGGTTCATTTACTGTAGTTGTTATATATGATTGATCCATTTCCTTTGAACGACCAAGCACTGCATATTTACGAGATAATGTTTTATATTCTTCAGCGCCAGCTGCTAATCGTTCAGTTAATTCTTGAATTTCACGTTGTAGATCATTCTGAAAGAAAGATAAATGGAATTTTTGAATCTATATTTATGAGAAACTTACAATAAATTGTTTATAAACACCCAATTGTCGTTTAGCTTCAATTTCACTTTTTTGATGTTTAACACAACGTGTTTTTATTGCTTCAAATGAATTAGTTACACTCGCATAAGCTTGTTGTTGTGCATTCATTTCATCCAATTGATTTCGAAGTGAATCCATTTCATTTTTTGTAGATTCATTTTCGATAAGTACTAAATCTAATTGTTGTTGTAATCCGTCTGTTAAATCATTATCATGTTTAGATATTGTTTTTAAATGTTCATTATCAGCTTTGATAGAAGCGAGTTCTTCTTGTAATAAATCATTTGTATTTTCCAATCTTACAATATGTTCTGTTTGTTGAGCGACTTGTTTTGAATATGCATTCAATTGTGCTTCTATTGTTTTCTGATGTTTTTCAGCTGTTACAAGTATTTCATGCATTTGTTGTTCAAGCATTGATTGACGTTGACTTGATGTTAAAGCTGATTCATTTGATTGCATTAATTGACGTTCTAAACCAGTGATTTGTGTTGCTTGATCTTGTACTAATTGTGTTGTTACAGCTAATCGTGAACGAAGTTGATTTGCTTCAGTTTCTAACTGTGTACGACCGTTTTCAAGTGTCTGACAACGTTGAGCATGTTGTAATGAATCAGCTTTATATTGAGCACACAAGGATTGACAAGCATCAAATTGTGAACGTAAATTTGTTTCTAATTGTTGTCGTGATGATAACTCATCAATTGCTGTTTTATGCGACGCAGTAAGTGTCTAGAAATACATGTGAAATTAAGGTCATGTGTGTACATATAGGTGAGGACGTTCTTTTTTCATGATAATGTATGTGAATCGAAGGAAAATTTGCTTTCTATGACATTACAATATTAGTAATAATATGAATCATATTTTTTTGCCCTCTCTATAAAGAAAGTATTATTACGTACTTGCATATCGTTGTTAATTTTATCCATATGTTCTTTTGTTTTAATTTCTAATAATTCTAATTTCTCTTCACATTCATCTTTTTGTGATTCTAATCGACGATTGCGATCTAATAATTGTCGATTTTCTTGACGTAATTTTTCTTCTGTTAACATACGTTTTGTATGTATAACAACAAGTTCATCATTATCATGATCAGCTAATGCAATAAGACCATCAGGATTTGTTTTTCCAACTGGTAAATTAGATAATAAATCAATATCATCTAAGGCACAATTTAATTGAAATGGTATTGATGAACCGAGATTTTTTGTTTTATTAATAATATAACAAAATTGATAAAATTCATCATCAGTTACTGGTAATGATGATGATGGGAAGATTGCTATACCATGACCAGTTGATCCTGACGTTGTAGATGGATTGAATTGTACAGGAGCATATGCTAAACATTGTTTTATATTTGTTGAACCAACCTATGTAAGAAAGAAAATAGATGAATGAATTAATAAAAACAAAGTCGTACTCGTAATAAACCAATTTGATCTTCATTTGGGTTAACCTTGATATCCGAAACAATAGAAAAAAAAGCTGTAACATCTTCACCTTTTACATATTGATCAGGAACATTTTCAAAAATAACTCGATCATGTTGTTGTGATTGTCGTTCCATTGGATGATCAATTGGCCAGTTTAAATCAGAACTTGTGTCCGAACATTGATCATTTATTTCTGACATATTTTCCTTTATAATATTAGCGTGTAAAAAGAAATCTAAAAAAAAATGCATGTATATATATATGTACTATGGACGAAGACCACGCATCGATGTATAACTGATGCGTGTTGTGTAATGCTCACGAAATAATAATGTGAATAGTTGGCGTATATTTTATATTATATGTGTTAGTCATTGTGAATGACTCAACGGAAATTATTTATTTAGAAGGGTTTTCTTTATCTAGAATGAAGTGCGTCATTTCGACAAAACGTGAAACTTCCAGCTAAGATGAAAACACTTGTGTTTTATTATTTTTTGTTGATATAGAAGTTTCTTGAACAATATGAAAAGCGCCCTCTTTCGATGAAAAATTTCTTCTAATAACTATTATCATCGAGGCCATAGTCAATAATAAATAAAATGGTAGATTATTGATAGATTATTCATCTTGAGATTGAGAAAAACATTGTTCGATTACAACACGTAACTGATATCGGATTTAATTAAACTATTATCATGGTATGATGAAAAATTCGATTGATATATTTACTGAATCTTTTATTTTTAGGGGAATATGACATCAATACCCGTTGAGCTTTGTGCTACATGTAAAAATTATTATTTGTTTTTTATTTTAATTAAAAAAAATTTATTCTATAGTTGATGCTGATGAAATACGTCGGTTAGGTAAACGTTTTAAAAAATTAGACATCGATGGTAGTGGTTCATTAAGTATACAAGAATTTATGTCTATCCCTGAATTACAACAAAATCCACTTGTTCAACGTGTTATTGATATTTTTGATACTGATGGAAATGGTGAAATTGATTTCAAAGGTAGTTTATTATTTAAAAAAACAAAAAGAGTTGTGATAAAATTAAATTTTTATTTTATTAGAATTTATCGGTGGTATATCACAATTTAGTGTTAAAGGAGATAAAGAATCTAAACTTCGATGTATGTATATACATAGAATTAAAAATAGATTTTCTAATGAATTTTATTTTTCAGTTGCATTCAAAATCTATGACATGGATAAAGATGGATTTATTTCAAATGGTAATTCATATTTGTCTATTAAAAAAGATATTAATCCGATGAGAGAAATAATATTAAGGCCAAAAGGAAATTCAATTTGAGTTTAAGTTTTGCTCAAAATTTAGGGATCTAGAAAGCAGTCGCGCCGTGACAAGGATCGAAACCGATATTCAGATTCTTTTTTGCAAAGCTTCCCACGTCATCAAAATCGCCAAGGTCTGGGCGATTAATCACGATTTTATCGCGATAGATCTCACAATTAATCGGCTTGTATATCGCGATAACATTGTCGATTTTCAAGCGGTTTTGATGACATGGGTTAGGATTTTTTCGAGCATACTAGATTTAATCTTGCAGAAAACCCTCAAAGACTCGTTTTAAAAACTGATAAAATGTCATATTGCGAATATCAATAGTTCTTTTTGATTAACCATTTGGTCAAAATTCATATTGTTTACTATTGTCTCATTCTATTGAACAGAAATCTATTAAGCATCTAGCAATGTATCAGCTATTTGTCCGTGTAAAGTTTTGTTAAAAAAGAGGCACTGCTATTTTAACGTTGAAGCAATGATCGATGAGAAAGTTTTTTTTTTCATAAAGAGAAATAGAACATATCATTACTTGTCATTTACAGTGCGAAACATCTCATATATTACTATATATGAATGTATTTGTCATATGTCTATGTTTGATCTTGATTAGATTTTCATATCTTTTTTTTAGGTGAATTATTTCAAGTGCTAAAAATGATGGTTGGATCAAATTTAAAAGATTCTCAATTACAACAAATTGTTGATAAAGTAAATTCAATTAGATTTATTAAGAAAATTAAAAGAATTTTTTTTTTAAATGAATAGACAATCATCAATGCAGATAAAGATGGTGATGGAAAAATAAGTTTTGATGAATTTTGTGCCGTAAGTATATTAATTAATCTATTTGAAATTCTTTTTCGACTTTCGTTGTACTTTTTCTTAAAGTCATTTCTATTTTCCCTATATGATTTTGTTATTTCGACCTCCATATCCTTCTTCTAGTTTATCCCTACTTATGAGCTCAACATAAGTCTGCCGAGTAATATCAAAATCTAAATCATTACAGGTAATTTTTTGTCATTGTCTGTGACATTAGTTTTATTATTACACTAGTTGTTGCTTTGTTTTATGCATAAAAAATATTTTCATATTGTCAGTTTTGTTCTAGTAGACATTGTTTATTTTATAATTCATATAAATAATTTGTTTTTTTTTCATCTTCTTTTTTTTTCAGTGTGTTGGAGATTCATTAATCGATGATATACAAAAGAAAATGACTGTAGCTGTATGAAATAATAATAACAAAAACAATATTTTTTTTTTCTAATATCTTTTTTTCAAACAACATACCATGCTCAGTGCACGCTCATACATATATTGTTTTTCTATAATTCCTAATACATACATGCATATACATTGTACTGATATATATATATATAAACATACATATATATGTATTTTAATGAATTTTTTTTCTCACAACTCTATATTTGTCAACAACTTGCAGTGTTTTAGTTTATTTTATTTGTTTTTGCTGTGTCTTTTTTCGTGTATGTAACATGTAGAACATAAACAGTGAGATATATTATTAACATTATTTATTCTTTTATTTTATTGTGTATTGTAATGTGGTTCAGTTTTTACTCTTGTGAAAACTTCATTTTTCCTTTTTTTGCTTGTCAATATTTGTTGTTTTGTGGTGCATAACTAAATGATGACGAGAATAGGATTCGTTTT